TAGGAGGAATTTAGGAGGAATTTAGGAAGAAATTAGGAAGAATTTAGGAAGAAATTAGGAAGAATTTAGGAAGTATTTACAGAGAATTTAGGAAGATGTTAGGAGGAATTTAGGAAGAATTTAGGAGGAAATTAAGAGGAGTTTAGGAGGAATTTAGGGAGAATTTAAGAAGACTTTAGGAGGAATTTAGGAGACATTTAGGAAGAAATTAGAAAGAATTTAGGAAGTATTTAGAGAGAATTTAGGAAGAATTTAGGAAGAATGTAGGAGGAATTTAGGAAGAATTTAGGGAGAATTTAGAAAGACTTCAGGGAGAATTTAGAAAGACTTTAGGAGGAATTTAGGAAGAAATTAGGAAGTATTTACGGAGAATTTAGGAAGAATTTAGGAGACATTTAGTAAGAATTTAGGAAGAAATTAGAAAGAATTTAGGAAGTATTTAGGGAGAATTTAGGAAGATGTTAGGAAGAATGTAGGTGGAATTTAGGAAGAAATTAGAAAGACTTTAGGAGGTATTTAGGAGGAGTTTAGGAGGAATTTAGGAAGAATATCCCTGTGTGCTCTCACGTGGTTAGTGAGGGGCAAACACGGAATCTCAGGATCACTGAGGTTGGCAAAGAGCTCTGGGATCGAGTCCAGCCATAAAACACGTCCAGTTTTTGGGGCAGGACGGTAAAAACGAGGGGTAAAAGTGGAATAAAAACCGCCAGTGCTCCGCTCCCGGGAAAACCTGCTCCCGGGAAAACCTCCCTAAGGATTCTTCTCCTGCTTTTCCCACCCCGGCAGGCGACCCGGACGGCGTTCCTGCCCAAATCCTGCGCTCACCACCCCGGCTCTCAGCCCGTCAACGTGGTCCATCCCCTGCGCCCGGCCCCGAATTCCGTCCCCCCGCGACCCAGAGACCCCAAACCCGCCAGGCCACCCCCGCCGGTCACCAGGTCACCCTCAGGGGTCACCAGGTCACCCTCAGCGGTCACCAGGTCACCCCTGGGCCACTCCAAAGCCGGCGGCTCCCAGGCCAAGCTCCCGCCTCCCAGGAAACCTCTTCCCTGCAGCCCCGTGAGGACCCCACAGGTGAGCTCCGATTTTCCTTCCGGGCTCGGAAATTCCCGTGGGTTTTTTTTCTGGCTGGTTTTTGGGTTGGGATCTCTCGAGGAGCTGTCACACCACCCCGAGAGGTGGATCTGGTGCAGCAACGAGGAAAGTTCAGTGGATAACGAGAATATTTTAGGGTAGTTTGGGTGCTGTTAATGAGAATATTTTAAGGTAGTTCGTGTGTTTTTGATAAGAATATTTTAGGATGGTTGGAATGTTATTAATGAGAATATTTTAGGGTAGTTTGAGTGTTGCCAATGACAATATATTAAGGTAGTTGGGGTGCTGTTAATGAGAATATTTTAAGGTAGTTTGGGTGTTGAAAATATTTAGGGTAGTTTGAGTGTTGTTAATGAGAATATTTTAAAGTAGTTTGGGTGTTGCTAATGGGAATAATTTAGGGTAGTTGGTGTGTTGTTAATGAGATTAATTTGTGGTAGTTTGGGTGCTGTTAATGACAATATTTTAATGTAGTTTAGGTGTTGTTAATGGGAACATTTTATGGTAGTTGGGCTATTGTTAATGACAATATTTTCAGGTAATTTGGGGTGTTGTTAATGGGAATATTTTCAGATAGTTTGGATGTCGTTAATGATAATATTTTAGGGTAGTTTGAGTGTTGTTAATGACAATATATTAGGGTAGTTTGGGTGCTGTTAATGAGAATATTTTAAAGTAGTTTGAGTGTTGCTAATGGGAATAATTTAGGGTAGTTGGTGTGTTATAAATGGGAATATTTTAGGGTAGTTTGGGTGTTGTTAACGACAATATTTTAAGGTAGTTTGTGTGTTTTTGATAAGAATATTTTAGGGTGGTTGGGGTATTGTTAATGAGAATATTTTAGGATGGTTGGGGTGTTGTTAATGAGAATATTTTAGGATGGTTGGGGTGTTGTTAATGAGAATATTTTAGGGGTGGTTGGGGTGTTGTTGATGAGAATATTTTAGTGTAGTTTGGGTGCTGTTAATGAAAATAATTTAGGGGTTTTCGAGTGTTGCTAATGGCAATATTTTAGAGTAGTTTGAGTGTTGGATGTTGTTAATGAGAATATTTTAGTGTCATTTGGGTGTTGTTAATGGGAATGTTTTAAGGTAGTTTGGGTGTTTTTGATAAGAATATTTTAGAATGGTTGGGGTGTTGTTAATGAGAATATTGGGTGCTGTTAATGAGAATATTTTAAGGTGGTTTGGGTGTTAAAAATATTTAGGGTAGTTTGAGTGTTATTAATGAGAATATTTTAGTGTAGCTTGGGTGCTGTTAATGAAAATAATTTAGGTTTTTTTGAGTGTTGTTAATGAGAATATTTTAAAGTAGTTTGGGTGTTGCTAATGGGAATAATTTAGGGTAGTTGGTGTGTTGTTAATGGGAATATTTTAGTGTAGTTGGAGTGTTAATATTTATTGTTAATGGGAATATTTTAGGGTAGTTGGGTTGCTGTTAATGAAAATATTTTAGTGTAGTTTTGGTGTTGTCAATGAGAATATTTGTTGTTAATGAGAATATTTTAGGGTAGTTGTGTGCTGTTAATGGGAATATTTTAAGGTTCCCTGCATGTCATTCCATGCCTGGAAGCATCTCAGCTCTGGGATGGGGGAGGGAGTTTTGCAGGAGGTCACTGGACGCTCCTTGAGGGTGTTTTGTCCCTCCCCACACCCCTCCTGTGACTCCAGGTGGTCCCAAAGCAGCAGCCCCCGCGTCGGCCCCTCCCTGGGAGTCCTCTCCTGGCCAAGGAGCTGCCTCCTGCCCACGGACAGACCCTGCTGGTCATGGTCCCTCCTACCAACTTCCAGCCGGCGGGGACGAGCGCCACGAGCCACCCCACGAGGCCCCTGAAGTGAGTGGAGTGTCCCTCCCACCACGGGTGGGGGGTCCTGTGGGTTGGGGGCAGTTCAGGGGGGTCACACCCGGGTGGGACATTCCCTGCTCTGCAGGACCTCGCAGGGTCTGGCCAAAATTGGCCAACAGCGACCGAGGTTTGGGGTTTTGAGGTGCTGGGTTAAGGGAGGGGCCATATTTTGGGGGGGGGGAGGTGGTTTCCCATCCCAGGTGTGGAGGGAGCTGTTGGGATTCAGTGAAGGGATGGCCACTAATGTGATGGGATGGCCACTGATGTGAAGGGATGGACACTGATGTGATGGGATGGCCACTGATGTGAAGGGATGGACACTGATGTTCTCTCTCCTCTTCCCTCCTTGCAGACCGATGCCACCTCAAAGGTGAGTGAGGGACATCCCACGGACCCCTGGCACTGCTTGTGGGGGGTGGCCTTGGGTTCAGCATCAGACTGGGAACCAGGAGACCTGGGATTAAATTTCCACCTTCCCAGAAGCTCCTGGGTGAGCAGGACATAGTCCCTTTGGGTACCCCACCAACAGCAGGGCTTGGGCACCTTTGTCCAAAGGAATGGAGGACATGGGTTTTCCAGTCCAAGTGTTTTCCAATATCACTGCTACTTCCAGCTCTTGCTGTGCTGCCCAATCCTCTGGATAGGGGTCAGTGGAGCCCCAAGGAATTGTGTTTGCATCCATTCCTGCTGTTCAGGCTTATGGGCTGTATCCCTGTATCCATGCATGGGGAGATCACACCATACTGGAATGAAGTTGTCCCTCATCCCCAGCCAGTCTTCTGTGTTAGTCACTGCTCTGACCCTCTGACACTATTTTGGGTTCTCACTTTGTAGTTGCCACCACAAAGAGTTGACTGTGCCCCAAAATGTCTCAGTGGAACTCAATCCCTGGAGCTCAGCTCTCTGAGGAGATGAAACAGGGCTGGTCTGTGGTTCCTAAAGGGAAGGGTTTGGCACATCCTGGCAGCCAAAATCATCTCCCTCCCCCAAACTGTGGGATTTTGTCTGTGCTGCCCACTGAGAACAATCCTGGAGAGGGACTTAGGACAAGAGATGGGGGGACAGGACAAGAGGGAATGACTTCTCACTGCCAGAGGGCAGGGATAGATGGGATACTGGGAAGGAATTGTTGGCTGTGAGGGTGGGGAGGCCCTGTCCCAGGTTGGGCAGAGAAGCTGTGGCCGCCCCTGGATCCCTGGAAGTGTCCAAGGCCAGATTGGAGTAACCTGGTCTGGTGGAAGGTGTCCCTGCCCAGGGCAGGACAAGATGCTCTTTAAGGTCCCTTCCAGCTCAACCGTTCCGTGATTCCATGAGTCATGAATCCCCAGGATGGGAAAAGGCTCCATATGGGGTTGGTTGAGTTGGTGATGTCTCTTGGTGGTGCACAAACCACCTTGGCTGTTTGTAGGTGTCCCTGGGCCACATCATTCCCACTGCTGGTCACTGCCTGGTGTCACCACATGTCCTGTCAGGGTTCTCGGGGTCCACCAAAGGAAAAACCACCTCAAACCAGTGCAATCTGTGGTTTAGCCTTTGCAAGGGGACATGGGTGACCACGGCAGTGCCAGTGCCAGGTGCCCTCTGGTGTCAGGGACAGCAGCTGCTCTGTCTGCCCTGAGCTGTGGGAGGTTGGTTGTGGTGGAGGTGGTGGGTGGTCGATGTTTGCACTCAAAGAGTTGTCTCCTTCTTCTTCTTCTCCTCACTCCAGGCCAGTCCCAGCCATCAAAGTCCAATCAACCTTCTTCCCCTCCAAGAAGTGACAATCCAAGGCCACCTGAAGCCCGTCCTTCCTGAGCTGGCTCTCCTGATTTGCACTGCTCTGCCCACAGGGGTCCTTCATTCCCCTCCTTTTATTTGTCTTTTGATACCAGAGGACTATTTTTATAAGACAGAATTTGTATTCAGCACAAAAACTGGGGATGGTGGGGTGGGGAGGAGAGGGGAAACTGGTACTATGACTTCACTGAAGGTTGGAGGTGGGGTTTCCATGATGGACATTCCATCCTGGCATCGCTTCCCAGCCAATTTGCCTCCCAGCTTTGGTTTCTCCCTGACGTTGCACATGGGCTGGGCTGGGGCGACCCGGGGGGCACGAGGACGTCCAATACTGATGGAAGATGCTGGTGACAGTGTAATGTCCTTCTAGCTACCTCCTCCTTCTCCTCCAGGCCTGGTGACACCCCTCCTCCACCACCACCACCCACTGCCACCAGAGCTCCACGCCGGGGCGTCCTCTCCGGGGAGACATTTGCCACGAGAGAAACACAATTTCCAGCTTGGATCGGGACATTTCCATGAAGGATCCAAGTTCTCGGGCTCCTCCTGCCCCTCCTGTCCGATTGCACGAGGTGACAACCCTGGGGTCACCTGGAAGGAGCAGCCTCCTGGGAAGTGTTTCAATGCCTCAAGTGCTGGTGGCACCAGCGGGTCACCAGGGTGCTTTCAGGGGGCTCAGGAGCCCCCCCTACAAATGCTGCCTGTTCCCTGCTCGTGGGCCAAGCCCAGCAGTGGCTCCTGGAGCTGCTGATACTCTGCTGTCCCAACGGGATGAGGAGCAGGAAAACCTCCTGCCCGTGTCATCGGCTTGTCCAGAGGCCTCGGCCGAGCCGCTGCATTTCTCTGTGCCTCAGTTCCCCCCGTGTGGAAAGGGGGGGGGTGATAACCTACCTCACAGGGGTGTTGTGAGGTTGAACAAACTCATGTCTTGAAAGGGCTTTACAATCCTCAGATCAAAGGTGCTGTTGACCTTGCACAGTTTTGTGCCACTTTTCCTGTGACTTGACACGCGGCTCTATCAGGGTCTGAAACGAGAACAAAGACTTTCTACAGTCCCCTGGCTCCTCTGGCTCTTTTCTTGCTCAGAAGTTCCCTGAACCCTTTAGACACCAAGATCTCCAGGTCTTCCACGACCTACAAACAGATCCCAGGACTCCCTTAAACCTGGGACGGTTCAGTCCATCCCTGTGTCCCATATCAACGACACTGGGATAGTTCCCACCTCACCTGGGACAGATCTCTTGGAGATGTGTCCAGCCATGGGGTAGGTTCAGGGACAACCCTCAAGGGAGGGTTCAGGGACAAGAAACTGTTCTGGTGTTTCATTATCCCCAGGATGGCCCTAAAGGCCACCTTAACCCGAGCTGTCCTTACTCTCATGATCAGGCTTTACTTTGAAGCCTTTGGTCTTCCTGAAGCATCTTCAGGAAGAATTTTTTCATGGAAAGGGTTGTTAAACATTGGAATGGGCTGCCCAGGGAGGTGGTGGAGCCCCCATCCCAAGGAAGGACAGGCCGTGGCACTCTGGGCTGGGGGACAAGGTGGGCATTGGGCACAGGGACCTTGGAGGGCTTTTCCAGCCTTGGTGATCCTGGGATCTCTGGTGCTTCCATATTTTTCTTGGTTCATGGATGTCCACGTGGGATCTTGGATCCAACATCTCCTCTTCCTTTAATAACAAGTCACAAAATCACAGAGTCATTTGGGTTGAAAGGGACCTCTTGAGATCGTCCTCACACGAGCTCCAGAGGTGAATGAGCTGATCCCTAAACATTCCCAAGGTCTCGTTGGTATTAATGATCTCCCAAGGAATTTTGACACAATCAGAACCTTTGGAGCTGCTGGAGAGGGAAAAACCTGCTCCCTTCCTGGGCATCCCCTCCCTTCTGCTGCCCACTGTGCCAGCGGAGGGCCAAACAGCTGGGGAGGGTTTGGAGAAGCCACTGCAGGGATGAAGTGCTTGGAAAAACCTTTTCTCCACGTGTTGGACCCTTTAACTCCATGACAAAGTGAAGGATGACAGGTCAAAAAACCAGCAAGGTTTTTTGGATGGTCTCTCCTCAAGCTGATGCAGAGTTTTGGGTTCTTGCCTATTAATGTCCTGCTTGGCCACCACACTCCCCTTCATCTCCTCCTGCTGCCAGTGGGGAAAGTTCAGCCACTCCATCTGCCCAAACTTCACCAGCAGGGTAGAACTAGGACACACATCTGGGGGGAAATCTGAGATCTTCAGATGAGAAAGGAATTGATAGAAAGGAATTGAGAGAAACCCACAGGTTTGAACTCAAGGGTGCTGCTAAGATCTGGGGCTCTGCTCAGTGTGACACAATAAGTGCTCAAAGGTGTTTCCACCCTTGTCAAAGAAACCCTTTCTCTGCCTAGGATGTCCTTGAACATCCTTTTTCTTGGGGCAGATTGTGCCGGGCCCTGGTGCAAAAGGATCCACCACGTCCCTTTTCCTCAGGCAGAGAGAGCAGCAGTGCTGGGAACAGCCCTCCCAGTCCCTCCCAGTCCCACCCAGTTCCTTGTTTGGAGCAGGGACATGAGAGGATGGTAATTTGGGGGTGATGCCCGACGGTCTCTTTGCTGGCTTTGTGGAACCCGAGGTGGTCCCAGGATGTGCAGATGTCCACCCCGATGCAGCCACAAATACAAGATGTGGCCCGTGGTTCCACGGGACAGGCAGGATTTGAAGCCTGGTAAGAGAAATTCCTGGATCCAGGGAGGGGTTTTGGGCGTCCAGGTGGCACTAGATGGCAGCAGATAACCACGAATCCTCTGCTCAGCCTCTGCCCGGATTTGCTGGGATTTCCATGGAGCGGGTCCTCAAGTGCAGCTCTTCTCCTTGGTCTTTCTCCTCTGGCCCATCATCGATAAATCCATTTAAAGCATCAGCTGGATGTAAAAGCTGCTGAGTGTTCCTGGGGGGCTCCTTGAGCTTCCACGTGGTTTCCCAGTGAACCTTTCCTTGTCATAAAAGGGAATGTGTGAAAGGCTAAGGGGGCTGGGGGGGTTCCCCTGGAGAAGAGAAGGCTCCAGGGAGAGCTGAGAGCCCCTGGCAGGACCTAAAGGGGCTCCAGGAGAGCTGGAGAGGGACTGGGGACAGTGGATGGAGGGACAGGACACAGGGAATGGCTTCCCAGTACCAGAGGGCAGGGATAGGTGGGATATTGGGAAGGAATTGTTGGCTGGGAGGGTGGGGAGGCCCTGGCACAGATTGCCCAGAGAAGCTGTGGCTGCTCCTGGATCCCTGGAAGTGTCCAAGGCCAGGTTGGAGCAACCTGGGATAATGGAAGGTGTCCCTGCCCATGGTAGGGGATGGAACTGTATACCCTTTAAGGTCCCTTCATCCCAAACCATTCCATGATTCCATGACTCTGTGACTACCCCTCTTTGGCCATTTCAGGGGGTCACTGTCACCCACCACACCCGGGATGGAGCTGGGAAGATATCCCCGCCCTTGGGCAGGTTCTTGCCTCTGTCTCCATGCCTTGGTTCCCCTCTCCATGCCTTGGTTCCCCTCAGCCTGTCCAGTGGAGTCCCCAGTCCTTCCTCTGTCCCCCAGTGCCCTGTCCTGACCCACAGCAGCTCCTGTCCTGACCCACAGCAGCTCCCTGGGCTTCTGACACCCTTGGGCTCCTCAGGGTTTTCCTCGTGGGACGTGGAAGAAGGGCCAAGTGAAGAAGGGAATGTGGTGAGTCCCCAGTGATGGAGTGGCCTCCACGAGCTTCAGAAATGCAGAGGAATTTTCTGGAGCACAATGGGGAGGTCACCCTGGGAGGGGAACCTGAGTTTTGAGGTGCAGCAGCTTTTCTGGGGGTGTCCTGGCTCCAGACAGGCTCTGTCCCCTGGGATGCAGGACGAGGGGACATTTCTAGAGCAAAATGTAAAACCACCTCATAGAATCCTGGAATCTCCTGAGCTGGATCCACAAGGATCGAGTCCAGCTCCTCACAGGACACCCCAACAATCCCACCCTGCCCCTCAGAGCGTTGTCCAAATACTGCTTGGACAATTCCTTTCATTTTTTTCCTCATCCTTTTTAAAATTTATTTGATCTTTTTATTTTCCTCGTTTCTGCTGCATCCTGGAATGGGAGGGATGAGGGGAATGGACACCTGGAATGGCACCACACAGGCAGGTAACACATCCATGGGTGCAGAGAAATGCTGGCACACAAATCCACGCACAGAGCCAAGGGAAAAAAAATCCTGGGAAAAAAAGGGACAAAAAAGCAATGAAGCAATTAATGAAGAGGCTCCTGCAGCTGAGGAAGTCAAACAATTTATCATCTTCCAGCTCCTGCTCTTTCCTTTTGCCGTTTTTTTCTTTGGCAGATGTGGATCCTTCTCTCCAGCCATCCCTCCCTCCCACCCAGGGCTGAGAGATCCCTTCTTGGAGTCGAGAAGGGGCCTGTTAAAAACGAAAATACAAAGCACAGCTTGACTTTAGTTCTCTGCATCCACTTCTACCCATCCAGAGCGAGGGGGGAAAACACATCAGAGATATTAAACACACCCACACGACGAAGACTGAGGTCCTGGGGAGGCTGTTGCTGAAGTGTTGCCTGGAGCTGATGCCTTATCTCTCTAATTTTCAAGTGTTTCTTCGAGCTGTGAGTGTCTTTCAAGTCTCAGTGCTGTGAAGTTCAAAGTGAGAGTGGGGAAGCAGCACTTCTGTGCCAGCTCTGCCTCCACAACCTCCTCTTCTGGTTCAAATCCTCGCTCGGAGAAGGAAAGGAAGGAATCGGTGAGCTTGGACAACATTTGGAGCCAGGGCTTCCTGAGGATGTGGAATCTTGGGGGAAAGGAGCAGCTTCTGGAGTCCACAGGGGTTTGGAGAGCAAAGGTGAGTGAAGGCAGGGATGTGCCTGGAGAGCAGAGGGTTCCCTGGAGAGCAGAGGAGTCCCTGGAGAGCAAAGAGATCCCCAGAGAAGAGAGAGATCCTTGGAGAAAAGAGGGGTCCCTGAAGAGCAGAGATCCCTGGAAAGCAAAGAGGTCCCTGGAGATCAGAGAGATCCCTGGAGATCAGAGAGATCCCTGGAGAGCAGAGAGGGGTTTCTGGAGATCAGAGAGATCCCTGGAGAGCACAGAGGGGTTTCTGGAGAGCAGAGAGATCCCTGGAGAGCAAAGAGGTCCCTGGAGAGCAGAGATCCCTGGAGACAAGAGATCCCTGGAGAGCAGAGGGATCTCTGGAGAGCACAGACATTCCCAGAGAGCAGAGGAGTCCCTGGGGAGCAGAGAGATCTCTGGAGACAAAAGATCCCTGGAGAGTAGAGGGGTCTCTGGAGAGTAGAGTAATCCCTGGAGAGCAGAGGGGTTTCTGGAAAGCACAGAGGTCCCTGGAGAGCAAAGGGGTTCCTGGAGAGCACAGAGATCCCTGGAGAGAAGAGAGATCCTTGGAGAGCAGAGGGGTCCTTGGAGAGCAGAGGGGTTCCTGGAGAGCACAGACATTTCCAGAGAGCAGAGGAGTCCTTGGAGAGCAAAGAGATCCCTGGAGACAAGAGGTCCCTGGAGAGTAGAGATCCCTGGAGAGCAAAGAGATCCCCAGAGAACAGAGAGATCCCTGGAGAGCAGAGGAGTCCCTGAAAAGCAGAGATCCCTGGAAATCAAAGAGGACCCTGGAGATCAGAGAGAACCCTGGAGATCAAAGAAGTCCCTGGAGAGCAGAGAGATCCCTGGAGAGCAGAGGGGTTCCTGGAGAGCAGAGGGGTTCCTGGAGAGCAGAGGGGTCCCTGGAGAGTAGAGAGGTCTCTGAAGAGCACAAAGATCCCTGGAGAGCAAAGAGATCCCTGGAGAGCACAGAGATCTCTGGAGAACACAGAGGTCCCTGGAGAGAAGAGATCCCTGGAGAGTAGAGGAATCCCTGGAGAGCAGAGGGGTTCCTGGAGAGCACAGAGAACCCTGGAGAGCACAGAGGTCCCTGGAGAGCAGAAGAATCCTTGGAGAGCAGAGAGATCCCTGGAGAGCAGCAGAGCACCTGCAACATGCCTGGTTTGGATCCAGACACTCAGCTGAGATCACAGAATCATGGAATGGTTTGGGTTGGAAAGGAC